GGGGTGGTGTCATGGTGATCGAGTCCCTCAGTCTGTTTCCGACTGGAAGGCCTCTTTTGTATTGTGCAATGGCTAGATTGGTGGGGCAGTCTCCAATCTGGTTGAATGTCTCCCAGTAGCGACTGTTGTAGGATCTTAGGATCTCTTTATCACCCATGTCGATGGAGAGTAGCTGATCGATCTCCACCGGGGTTTTAGTGTTTGTTCGGAACCTTGTCACGAAGGCTTCTGCCAATTGTGCCCAAGAGGCTATGCTGCCTTCTGGAAGTTTCTCGAACCAAGTCAAGCCTAGGTCGCCAAGACTTGACGGGAAGAGTATGCACATTAAGGCCTCGTTTCGCCTGTAAACGGAGGTCGCCCAGACTTGACGGGAAGAGTATGCACATTAAGGCCTCGTTTCGCCTGTACACAGCCATGACTTGGCGAAAGTGGCTTAGGTGTGAATATGGGTCCGTCTTCCCTTCATATGTAGTGAATTTCGGCTGAAGGAAGCCTGATGGTAGGGGCGCGTTTTCGATCGCTGGGACAAACGGCGAAGTCTGTAGTCTGGCCAATGCCTTGTCCGTCGGTTCGTAGGCCGGTCGCGGTATTGGCATTCCAACCTCGACGCTTCCATGCGTCCGAGGAGCCAACCGCTGTAAGGAAGAAATTCGGTGTGGATCCCTCGCCCTAGCATCCTCCTTGCATCGTGCTTTTTCTTCGAGCACGGTTCGTAAGTCGGATGACCTGGGGAGCTCTGTCTGTCTAGATCTGGTTTGGTGTGAATGCGAAGGCCAATACGTGCTTCCTTCAGTGTATGACCTCTCAGATCTCGTCCTCTCAGACCTGGAGTGACGAGTCCTGGAAGATAAGGAATGAGTGTCGCCTGTCCTGAGGCTTCTGCTCTCTCCTTGGGAGGGCGTAGTATTCCTACTACGATTCCCTGAGTGGCGAGGGGGCGACTTGTGCTTGCGCCCCTCTCCTGTCGCCACATCTTTAGTTTTCATCTGGCGTTTCAAGGCCTCCATGTCCGCCGCCATCTTCATTATCAATTCATCTTGCTCTTTCACACGATCCTCCAGAGCTTGAGAGTCAATCCTCCGTCTCTGCCGGTCGGGACTTTGAGAATGGGATTGACGGGGGCTATGATTCCGTCTTCCCCTAGCATCCCTCCTGGAGGTATGTCGATGTGGCTCTAGGTCCCCCATGGGAGGGACTGTAGGTAATCCTTCACGCCTTGCGCCTCCTTCTGGAGTTAGTCCATCGACGGCGGACTGCGGCATGTCTTCAATGTTTGCCATTGATTGAGAGAAGGAGAAGCTTAGTCAAGAGGTTTTTTGTTCTTGTCTGTTCTTCCCACAGACGGCGCCAATTGTACGGGGAGGAAATAATTCTCCTCGTATAATCCTGTTGACCAAGATTCTTTGCCCTGCACATCTCTCAACACCGAGCAAACCATCAGTAGTGCCCAAGTCTTAAGGGCGGTCAAAAATGGGGTGTCTACATGCCTAAGTCAGAAAACTTGACAAATAGACAAAGCTCTATGTTCTCAGAAAGTAAAATCGAATTACCTCTCCCAAGGTGTTGCTTGTGAGCTTTTATAAGTTTCCCGTGGCACAATCCTAGTAGGACTCATATTTCTCCATGCAGAGTCCTCTTAGGATTCATACTCCTAAGGATAATGCTTATCCTTTTACACCCTCCCCCACTGCTTAAACCAAGTGGGATGGTTTTCACTTTGGCCGAACTACAACTCGACCGAAATAAGCTTGGCTATGCAGAGCCACAGAGACGACCGAACTATCCTTAGCTCGGTTCTCTCCTCCAACTCATCTCGGCTTTCCCCGGTTCAACCATGACGTGAGTAGCAAGCTCTGGCCGGTCTAATCACAATATACCTGTGACCGGATTAATTCCGAGACCGGACTAACTTTAGTTAACTTCAGACCGGAGTAGCGTTGCACATTCTTGAACCGAAGTAACCGCACCCTTCCTGGGCCGGAATAACTTCACTCCTCCTGGGCCGGAGTATCTATACCTCTATTGGGGCCGAAATAACACTACGGCTTATTACCAATACTTTGGGCCGCATGGCCCAACTTCCAGCTCGGCCCAATTTTATCCAAAAAATCACCCTCTCAAATAGCATCACTTTTATTTTTTAAATCTTAGTTAGTTTTATTTTTATTTTGTGTTATATAATAATATAATCATTCATTTTAATTTTGTTTTGTGTCAATAAATTATAAATTTCAGCAATTGGTTTTTTATTCTGAAGCTACTAAATAATAAAAAAAAAATAGCATCACTATTTTTTATAAAAAAAAAAACTTAATTAGTTTTAATTTTACTTTGTGTTATATGATAACATATTTATTCATTTTAGATAATAAGGCCTTAAACATAGAATGCAGATGACTTGAATGTTGATCTGGTAGTGACACGTATTCTGTATGCAAATATAAAATTCAATAATCATAGAAAAAATTTCTTACCTTTGATTTTTGTCTAAATATATAAAATATATTTATTTAAATTAATTTTTTTAATTTTGATTATAAATTTGTAATTTGTTTATAATTTCAACATAACATAGTTGAATAATAATTTTATTAAAAGATTCACATATTGAATTCAATTTGTTTAAAAATTATATGACCTTCAAAATTGTAATTGAAATTAACTATTAAATAATAATTAAGTAAAAAATATGTGTATTGACTTTTTGTTCTTCAAATGGGTCCAAAAGACCCCGTCTACAATTGATTTTTGTTATAGACTTTTTACTGTAAAAGAGAAACTTGTCATTTAAAAACTTACTTAATTAATGTATTCATTACATATATGCAAAGAAACAAATTTAAACCTATGAAGATCTCAAATAAATAAAATTTAAGCAAAAATATTATAGAGTTACATAATTAAATTTAGTTATATTTGGATTTAAAATTGGGTGTCCTCCTCATATATTACAACACAATGGAACACATAAATTAATATAATTGAAGAAAAAAAATAAATGGGATTGAACAAAAACTTCCTTCAACCCCATGAATGCATTCCAAATACTCTTCTCCTCGATTGATAAAATTTTTCTCAAAAAAAAAATAGTGTGAACTTCAAATACATCATAAAACATCACTTTTTGTGTTAGTCTTTTAGCAATTTTTTTTTGTTGCTACCTTTTTTTTTCTGTACGTTATACTTGTAAAAAAAAATTTAAATGAACAATAGATTTTGGAGGCATAATCGCATCTACTACATTATTATAATTTCAATAACAAACTTAGATTATGAAGCAAAAATTAAATAAATAAATACATCAAATAAACTAAAATTGAAACAAAGAAAAGAAATCAAGAGAGAGAGAAAAAAAAATAAACACAATATGAGATTTTAAATATGTATTTCTTTTTATATATGATGCCAAAAATATTGCACAATTCGTCAAATCACATGTTTAATTTCTCTATAGGATTCCTTCTCTTCTCCAATCTTTTTGTCCAATTTCGTATTGTCATTGAAGTTGAGTTTTGAGATTTATAAGTTTAACTTTTTGTTAAATATCTTTGGATGAGATATAAATCTATTGAAGGAATTTGAATTAAAGTCAATTAACTAATATTTTATCTTTAAAATATTTTTAAAATCTTTTATCCATTTCAAATTTGAATTTTAAAATGAATTTGTATACTTTCTATTTGAAAGTTATAAATCAAGAGATATTATCTTCTTTTTTTTTTTAAAATCAAAAAATATATTTTAGATCATCCCAAATAATTTATCGAAGTTATATAATTTAAGAATTCTTTATAGAGGTTTATCTCAACTCAACTAAAAAGAAGAATCTTCGGATGAAGTATACTTCTCAAGCAACTAGAGTTTTACAAGTAAGAAGACTCCTACGGAGGAGTAACTAAGAAGAACGTTTTTTTTTTTTTTTTTTAAGATTTAATTGTGTGATCAAATTTTATCTCACATAATAACTTGATTGTAAATTTAAATGAATTTAAACATATTTCAAACAAATGAAATTTGAACAGTTCAGAATTTCAAGTAAAGTTCCATAGCTGGACTTTTTTTTATTTCTTAATTTTATTTATTTTTTGTTAGTAAATCACTCATTGCTTTATGTGTCTATGAAAATTTGATAAAATATTATGAAGAATATTAGGAATATTAACAATCTTACTAATACACTTATACGTTGATGTAGGTCACATTTCAAGTGATGGTTGATCTTATCAAAACTTATCAATGTGTTAGTAAAATTATTAATAAATGTGTGAGTATCCCTAGTATTGTTATAATATTATTGAGTAATATTAGGGATATTAAAATTTCTACCAAATATTTTATTAAATGTTTAAGACCAAGTTTGGCAACCCAAAAATAATCCATCTTTTTATTTTTTTTCATCACATCACCTCTCTACTTTTCTGCACATCTTTTTATAAAAAGATAAAAAGTACACTTATTTAGGTCATCCCAAACAATTTCTAAATGTGAACCTCACACTTATGTAAAATTCACGTAGGTGAGACATTTGATAAAATATTTATTAGAAATTTTAAAACCTTTAGCACTTTTCAATTTTTCATTTTCTATTTTCATTTTTTTATTTTCCAAATATTTTCCACGATGTAAATTAATACCCGGAACACGCACGGTAGTTTGGTAACTTCTTCCTCCAAAGCGCCAAAATTGAATTAATCACTCTAAACTCACAGCTTTCCAACTAACCTATTCTGTCACAGTCCAATCAAAGTCTCTTTGCTTGTATCAACATCAAGAATCTCATTGGGCTGTCACGTTTTAACAAGTCACGCTAAAACATGCCAAATTTTCTGAACCAACGTGCCACTTTCTGTCTCCTTTCTCGCCATTTTCTCACTCCTTTCTCTCCGTCTTCCTCGAAAACCAAAAACCCTACCCTATATATAACACACCATAAACATCTTCTCCGATCAAATCAATTCAATCCTCCAAATCCACATACATTTACAGAGTTCAATTTTATTATGGCAACAACATCACGATCTCTAGAAGTGACGATCATTTCAGGTGAAAACCTGCGAGTCGATCGGACTCGGCCTGTGAAGAAGAACGCCTTCGTCGTGGTCCGAACCGACTCGTCTCCGATCTCTCAATCGACGAATCTCGACATCGATGGCGGTAGCTACCCTACCTGGAACCAAACGCTCCTCGTCGACATGCCGGTTCACGCCCGGTTCTTGAATGTGGATGTACAATGCCGCTCTAATTCCGGCGACAAGGTCATCGGAACGGCTAGAATTCCGGCTTCGGACTTTGCCGGAGGTTACTTTCCCGAGAACTACTTGCATTTCTTGAGTTATAGGTTGAGGGACAGTGGAGGTGAGAGAAACGGGATTGTTAATCTTTCGGTGAGAGTGAAGGTTCCAGAAGGTTCTGGAAGAGTTGCGGCCGCCTCCTCTGCTTCCACTTCGTGCTCGCAGTCGCGGCCGTGGATGGGGGTTCCGGCCGCCGGGAAGGTTTCTGGTGGGATTGTCTCCGGCGTTCCGGTTTGGTCTAGGTATTACTGATTGGTGCAAATTGATATGTATGGTTTTGAAGTAGAAGGGTGCCCTCTTGAGTGGATTGGAGAGTAATGTGTATATATTTGAGTGATTCAATGATTGAAAGTGTATTGAAATCATATAAAAAAATTTAATAATAGAAAGGGAATTTATCAAAAAAAAAAGTTTTTAGAAGTTTTTTTTGATAAATCCTATTTAGGAGGGTTCTAGTCTAAATAGTCTATAAAGCAAAATTATAACCTACTTAGTTTTATGTATTTATACCTTTATTTTATAAGGTTATTTTTCTTGATTTAAACTATTTTCTTATACCTTTATATTTAATGTTGATATGTATTAAGTACACACCACTATTTAATGTTGATATACATTATATACAAAAAATTAAATATCGTTCTTTATTGATTATCATTATGTTTTTGTAATTCCTATGCATCCAAATGTTGACTGTACGTGATGACGTGAATGTCCACATCAGATGACGTGAATGTGAATGTTCACATCAGATGACATGAAGATAAAGGTGATGTTAAGTAGGGGTGAGCAGCGGATATACCGATTGAAGAGTTGGGAAGGCCTGACTGAGATGTTTATGGCTAGGTTTGTTACGTACAAGTTGCAGCCACTAAGAGTAAACTCCCTGCTGGCTTTGAACATTAGTGATAGTGAAAGCCTCAAGGCTTACGCTACGAGATATTATGAGGTGTTCAACCAAATTCCGGCTTGTAACTAGGAGTTGGCAATCATATCTTTTAAGAACGACCTAGATGATGAATGCCCACTTCGAAAATCACTTGCAGAAACCCTACCAAAGAGTATGGAGGAGCTCATGGCACGGATTGATAAGGATGCCAGAGCAGAAGATGACACACAATAAACGAAGACACCAAAGTAGGAGAAGAGAAACATTTCGCCGAAGCAAGGCTGAGGTAAGGCCAATGTTAACAAGCAGAAAACAGGGTTGAGAGCTGCACAGGCAGTCACCACCATGTTCAGGATCTCAATCTACAAAGTTCTAGAAAGGATCAGGAACCAGCCATATTACAGAACACCGGAGAAGATCCCTGGTGAGTTTATGGGAATGAGAATTGGAAAGCATTGTGCTTGCCACAATGAGGATGGGCACTTGATGTAAGGATGCAAAGCCTTGAAAACACACTTGGAGGATCTGATCAGACAGGGTCACCTAATAGACCTAGTTGATGAGGCCAGGACAAGGGAAGAACATGCAAGGCTTTCTCAAGCACCAGCAGCACCACATCTACCACCGCCACCACAGCAAGTAGATGGACCTCAGGTGATCAATGTGATTCACTCGAAGGTCAATGAGAATGATGTACGAGGGGACACCCAGAGAGTAAGGCATCTATAGCATGTGTATCAAGTCCAGCAAAAGAAGCCCAGGATAAGTGAATACTAGGGACCAATAGTTTTTTTTTACTGAGGTAGACCTGGATATGGTACAACATCCACACAACGACGCCCTAGTGATAACTCTGAAGATTGGAGAATGCCAAGTGAGGCTCATACTGGTTGATCAAAGTAATTCTTATGCCATCATGTATGCTAGATGTTACAAGGAGCTTGGCTTTCACCCAAATGATCAAAAACAATTTAATAGCCCGATCATTGGATTCAACGGGATGCCGATATGCCTTCCCTTACAATATTATTTTGGGAAGACCGTGGTTGCACGCAATAAGGGTTGTTCCTTCAACGCTGCACCAGTTGTTGCGATTTCTAACCAAACAGAGAATTGAGGAGGTCAGATGGGATCAGGTGCAAGCGAAAAATTACTCCATGGCAGCAATGAAGTCCATCTACAACATATGGGAAGCAAAGACAGTGGAAATCGAGGACGAGGACATGGAGGTCCTAGATGATGTCGGCAAAGAACAAGCTGTAGACACCTATTTTTGACCGTCCTTAAGACTTAAGCGTTACTGATGATTTACTTGGTGTTAAAAACTGTGCAGTGCAAAGGTTCTATTTCTTCGGTGAGAGGAGAGTCAAATCCCAACCTTATACCTCATTTTGGACCAAAGCTATTTTGAATGGTTTTTAGACCTTAAAACCCTCTCTTTCAAAACATTTTTGAAACAAAGTTCCTACGATGCTCCGAGGCTCACATTCGTTAAATGTTGCGCTATTCGATAAACTGAGCAAGGACAAACTGGAAATGAATGAAAGAGAGATAAAATCTCTGAAAAATCTTTCAAAACACCTTGTTTAGGGGTTTGGAGTTGAAGAAAATGAGAAAGAAAAAAAGAAAACTAGTTTGGGAGAAGTTCGGCATCAATCCCGTTGGATCGAGACTGCACGGCTTCACCAAAACAGGCATAATTTTTTGCACAGTTGAAATTTTGATGCAAGGCTGGCGCCATTGGAAAGATAACTTCTGGGGTTTCAATTTAGACACTTGGCAACCACTTTTTGTCATTGCCAACCATTGGCCGACCACTTGTCTTTCTGGGAGACCACTTTTTGTCCTGGAAAACCTGAAAAAGTAGCTGATCGGCCACTTTCCAACACCTTTTTGGAGATCTTTTCTTGTCAGTTGTGCCAGCTGGAAGGCACAGAAAGCATCCTCCATACACATGTATGGAGAGATTGCTTAGAGCTCCTAGTGTGTTCGACAAGCTTGAACTTTGTTTTCCTATATAAGGGAGCCTCCTCCCTCATGCCTTAGGTTTAGATTTTTGTATTGGAGCTATACATACACATATATCTCTATATCTCTCTCTTGATTTCATTGTTGTGCCTTAAAGTGCCCTTTTGTCATACTTTAACACACAAACACACACTCAAACACCATCTTTTTGTTGCTGAGGTGCTTACAACCTGGTTTTAGAGTTTTTGGTTTGGTTTGAGCTTGGAAAACCTGTTGGAGTTATGGTTTTGAAGGTGTTCTTCAAGGGTGAGCTTCTAACCCTTTAAACCCTTTGTTTTGCTTAAGCTTTTGGACCTATTTGCATGCTGTTCTTGGCTTAACTTCCTACTGAAAAAAGTTCTTATTTTTGGTCCTTAAAATGTTTGTTTAGGGTCACTTTTGTGTTGGGGGTAGTCTACCCCCTCTTAAGCCTTGTTTGGCCTTGCTTTTGTGCCTTCTTTTTGAGCTTTTGGAACTACCTTGTTTTGGCCTTCTCACCACTGAAACTCAGAGGAATTTCAGTGGTGGAAGTGGTGTTTTGAGGTCCCAAATAGGAGAGGGCCATCCCCTCTTCTTGTGTTTTGAATACTTACTTTGAATGTCTCATGTGTGAGCATGTTTGCTAAGCTTATATTGGCCATATCTTAGCATGTATTTGGGGTTATTTTGGTATGGCACACCACTGTTTTTACTTGGTTTTGTCACTCCATGCATGCCTAATACACTTGTAGTGTAAATCTCACAAACTAGTCTTGTATGCTTCATGAAGTAACATGTCATTCTAGCTTGTTTCGAGTCCATTTTAGCATGTTTTTGGTGCTGTTTTACCATGTCATACCTCTGTTAAGGTTTGGTTTGGTTGGCCCTTGCATGCTTCATGTACTTGTAGTGCAAATTCCATGAACTAGCCTAACACGCATCATGTGTTTAGACCATCATTCTAGCATGTTTTGGCTTAACTCTAAGAAGCTTTTGTCCATGTTTTAGCATGCTCTAACTCTGATTTGTGTTGTTTTGGCCATGCATGACTTGCTTTGTATAGCCACGGTTCAATCTAGCTTGTTAACTTTGTGTGTCAAGTCCACTAGCATGCTTTACTTGGACTATTTGAATGATTTGGCATCATTTATTATGTGATTGCAGTCCATGTTTCATGATCATGTACTTGCATTTAGCACTTATTCAATGCGTTGGAGGGTTTGCCCCTTTATGCCTTAACATGAGTCATTGTGTATGCCTTCATGCCTTAGCATGCGAGGCATCATTTCAATGTGTTTTTGGGGTTATTATGCCATGACATAACTTTTATTTTTGTTGTTTAAGTGATCCCATGCTTGGTCTTAATAGGTGTAGTATAATCCACCTTATTTGCCTTGTATGCATCATGCCTTATGCCCTTCATGCTAGCTTATTTTGGCTTCCTTTCATACATGTTTTAGACTTATTTTAACATGTTCTAGGACTATTTTGGGTTGCCTTGATCACATGCTTCATGTTTTGCATACTTGTAGTACAAGTGCTCCTGCTTGCCTCAAGCTTTAAGCATCATTGCATGCTTCATTTGTATTGTGTACATGATTTAGCATCATCTAACATGATATTTCAGAGCTTATAACATGCTTTTGTTCCCACTTCATTCATGCTTTGAATGTCTTTAAGTGTTGTGCATTATGGCCTTGTTATGGCCTTAGCTTGCATGCTTGCATGCCTAGGCCTTTGGGCCCTCATCTCAGCATGTTTAGGTCCTTGTTTTTACTTACTTGAGCTCTGTCCATGCTTAGTTCATGCATTTGTGCCATGTGTTGCATGCCTCCTTTGTGTTGCTCTTTGCTAGCTTTCATGCCTTAGGACCCTAGCATGCTTTACTTATGTTGTTTGAATGATTTGGCATCATTTCTTGCTTCATTTTAGTGCACTTAGTGTTGTTACACTCCCACATTTGTTACTCTTTGAGCCTTCTTGAGGGTTGTGCTTTTAGGCCTAGTTGATAGGCCATTGCATTGTGCATGCATACCTTGTCTTTTGTGCCATTGTTTTGGTGTTATGGCCACTGATGTGGGCATGACTGAGGTCTATCCATTTTGGTTTAAGTCCATTGAGCATTGTGTATGACTTGTTACATTGCATTGTGCATGTTATGTTATTGTTTGCATTGCACATGCCATTTTCTTGATTCGCATTGTGTATGCCATGATCATATTGCATTGAGTATGCTAGTGGGCATTTGCATTGTGTATGCTAGTTACATTGTGTCATATTGTTGCATGCTTTTGTTGTCTTGTATTGAGTACGCATACATTAGCATTGTGCATTGTGCATGCCATTAGCCTTGTTAGGTTGTTCATGTGGCACGCTT